GAGCATCCAACTCTCTCTAGTGCTGAGCGTATTCTTTGAAATATTCCTTTCTTTTTCTTTTCTTTACAGTAATACATCACCAAGTGGCTTCTTAGACATGTGTGCCACTTGTACTTTTAAAATTCAGAAGTTTTGAATTTGGAAGGCATAACCAAGTCTGTAACTAAGCACATGTTATCTGCAGCTACACCCAAGATATCATTACTTTCCATAACTCCTAGTCTCTTTTCCAAAGTCTTATATTGTTCTCTGACTTCTTCAATATCTCCAGCCTATCCTTGACTCTCACTTTGGGAACTTGCAAGATGGTTCTCAAATAAAGTTTTTCCATAAGGGGCTTGGGAAACAGTATGCACAAGAGATTAAGGTTTAGTGAAGACGGGAGAATGGAAAATTGATTGTACAAATTGGCCCACCATTGAAGTATTTTCATAAGATGGAGAATAATATGGTGGCAACCCAAATTTTGCCCAAGAAGTAGCTGACTTTTGAGAAGGTTGTGGTTCAACAGTAAAACCACTGATTTGAAAGATGACAATCCTCTAAGTTTGTTCTCCTCTAGCCATCAATGATTTCATAATTTCCATGAGCTTTCCCATATTTCCTTTCAACTTATTGATGTATCCTATAACCCTTTTGTTATACTACTCTTGATCTCCCATTCTTCTTTTGATATTGGCTCTAGCTCTGTACCTCTGTTGAGGAATCAACTTGACATTATACAAACAACTCGGAAGATGAAGACATATTGAATGAGTTTCCTTTACAACTTGGATGAATGCATGAAGTATGCAAAGGAATGCAATGAAATACAATGCCATCAATGGAAAGTCAACCAATGCCATATCAAAGTAACACAATGCATGGTTTCATGTCATGCATGATTTAAAGGTAAAACAACACGCGTGTTTTACTTCCAGCGCGGTGTTTCATTTTTTGAGACTCAGGGGCATTGAGAGAAAGAGTTTGACAAGAAAATAAGATGGGGGGTGTCGGTTACTATCCCTATTTGTATTTTACGGTTTTAGTTTTAAGTAAGTGTTTGGGTTCTCATGGCCAACCAAACCCAACCCATTTTCAAACTCATTATTTTTTATTATTCACTTGTTTTCTGATAATAATGATTGGGCCTGGCCTCTTAAGCCCAGACAAATTTCTAGCAACACCCATTCATGCATTTGCAACAATGCTCTATTTTTTAAAAACTAATATGCATTGTTTTATTTTATTCACTTTTGTCATTTTAATTAGTTTTATTTTAATTATAACAATTCTCAAAATGTTTAAAAAATATTTCTTTTCTTTTGTAATAAAAACATAATAACACTACATTTCTTTTTTCATAAAATAAATCTCAAAAATTAAACTTAAATTCTCACATCTTTCAAAATTAATTTCTTGTCACTTTGTATACTTAATTTCTTGTCACTCCTGTCTAAAAATACATGTGTCTACCTAAAATCAATTGCAACTCATTCAAACATTTTGCCTCTTGGATTTTTAATTCAAAACCTTTCAAAAACGAGAGATACTCCGTCCATTCATGTGACGATAAAACAATGTTCCTTCCACATGTGAATGTTGAACTTTTTTCCACTCGAATGTGACGATGGAAAGAATTCGTATGAATCCATATTCATTCATCCATTCTTGAAGTGATGCAACTGTTCTATTATGCATGTTTCAGGCAACAGTGTTTTCCGTTTAAATGTGATCGAGCACCTCTCACTAATAAGAACCAACCCATAAACATTTGCTACCCAGACTACGAAGCTCTGATTTTCTTATTGCACCATTAGGATACTTAGGCACCAGATTTCAAAATCTTGGCGAGCACAATAATAAAAAAAATCCAAAAACATTTTCCTCTCTTTCTCTTTTTCCCGTATAATAAGTAGAAGATGAAAACATCACGCTAACACTTATTCACAAAACTAACTAAATAGGTACCATTGAGTACAACAGATGTGAGGGATGCTAATATCTTTTCCTTGCATAACCGGCTCACGAACCCGCTCTTGGTTGCAACAATCATTTCTTTTTCTTTCGTGGGTTTTATTCGATATTTTACCTTTCCTCTTGGAACAAATAAAAATCGGTGGCGACTCTATTGTATTTCGAGTGTGCGATGCGCTCGGGTATTTTTTGCACCGTGACAATAGAGCATTAAAAACCGTCACTCAAACCAACCAAAATAGCACTATGAAGCCATTATAACTATGAACAGAAGAGTGAATGGAGACAATAATGATAAAGAAACAGAAAGAGTTATTGTTGAAGAAGAAAGTGAGAAAAAGCAAAAGGAAAAAGATTGGTAAATACGTAAGTGAAGAGGTACAAGCAAAATTTCAAGGAACAATGGAGGAAAAATTGAAGAATCACCTTGTTCAGAATCTTCCTGACACAATAGCTCCAACTAAAAAAGAGTTGTATTGAAGGTTTTCAGACATTTTCAAAATAATCCAGATTAGCACACCTTTTTCCTGAAGCCTTGAAGCAACTTCTTACCTACCTCGAATTTATGAGAGAGAATAGGGAAAAGAAAAGAAGATACATTAAGGAACCTTAACACATGTGTCAAGCTAATAACTTTAAACAAGCCCTTATTACGAGACAACCCAACTTTCCATCTTTAAATTTAATTTTATTCATATTTTATTTTTTGAACTAAAATAGGTAAAAATAGGGTTTGGATTTTTGCTGAAACTTTGTTGCGCGAGCTCATCTGCTTTTTAAGCGAAGACTTCACTCTGATAAAGTTTTTGAGTATGAACAAGCTCGCCCAACCAACTACTAATATCTCTAAGAGAAATATCCAGGTCTCAAATGTAGATACTTGATTCTAATCCCTAATCATATAATTATATTCTAAGGATAGACCAACAATTTCAAGAGAGGGTGTATGTTGCTCTAAGAAGGAGAAAGTAAAGAAACTAAGAACTAAATCTTGTCAATATCTATGAGTGTTTTGTATGCAACAAAATTAAATTTTACAAATATCGTATTCACATGTATTGGTGCTTTTAAAGATAGGGTAGTAGTGATTTATTATCTTAAGCAAGAACAAGATTTTATGTTTGTTATGATACGGAAATTTAAATAACAGAAAATAAATAACAAAAAGTAAAGTTGGAGATGTCGGTGTTAACAATTAGAATGCTTGTTCAGGTAGATTTCATTATTGCATATCTATCAAGCATAATCATAGGTCAGTAATATGATCCTCTACTCAACGTATAATACTACCATATTTTATCCTCATTCATATATCTTTTCATTCTCCACGTAATATAATGATATATGTTACTGTTAACTAACACAAATGATTAAGTCCTAATAGTCGCAAAGTAGCGATACTACACACCGATCATGCTACAATTCATGTGGATATTGAGTTTGAACATGTGTTTAGGATTAGTACTCAATAAGTGATGATATTTGATCTAGTAATTACAAGCACCTTTCGATGTCATGTTTAGGCTTAGTACTCAATATGTGATTATCTTGGATTTAGTAATTTTTTTCTTGCTCTCCTATCCTTAAAATAAGGTAGTGAACATTATTATTCTTTTCAATTTTTGGCTAAGTGTTGTAATTTTGAAGGAACGAATTTTTTTTTAATTTTATGGCTCAAAGGGGGTTTATCAAAAGATTCTCACCCCCACTAGGTAGGAGTTTTAGGTCAAGTAGCTTTTTTCACTCAATTCAAATAATTCCTTGATCCTTTACATGACTTTGAACCATATAAAGTAATTAGAAAGACTAATGCTAAGTCTACTTAGTTATTATGCATTCTACTATAATTATTTTGTAAAACATTATGTTGCAAACTTCTCATTTGAGTAAGCTTTACAATTCTTGACTTATGTCAATATGTTTTCTCTAAAACGTAGAAGAAAAAAAATCAAAATTTGAATAAATCAAAGAATTTATAATCATGTTATTTTTCACATATAGCTAGACATTAATTACGAATGAAGAATTTAAAGAGAACAAAACATTTTTTTCACGCCATTTGATCTCTAAACTTTTGTAGCCAATCTATTATTGGTGGTTCATGCATTTTCAATTATTATTATTATTCTCAGGTCATTATCTGAATCATCTACGGACAAACTTCTTCTGAAAGTATTTTTCAAATTTTAAAAACAGTTTAGAAAAATTGACATTTAATCATGAAAACAATTTAAAACAAACAAGTATAGGGTAGTTTGAATCATCTTTACGTTGCACCCCCTGCAAAAAAAAAAATTGTGTGTCCTCAAGAAACAATATAATTGAATGTCACCAAAGATGTCCTCGCCGAGCCCCAAATTCCTTGCATATCCCGCACGTGGGACCAAGTTGTGCTAAGCACACTGGGTGGCGCTTAACCCACCTCTACATAAAACTTCAACGAATGTAGTGTGTATCGCGATAGGCGCGACCTCTGAGAAAGCAGCAAAACCTGTTATTTCTTGTGTCTTTTTTTGAAATTCATACCTTAATGGATTGATGTAGCATCATAGAATGTGCTTGGTGTTCAGATGATTACAACTCAAAGCAACAATATCATGAACAAATCTAGCAAAGTAATTAAAATACACAAAAATTCAACAAAGTTATTAAAACAAGTTCAAAAGAAATGCCAAAGTTTTTAAAAGTTATTGGTGTTCATCCATCGAAGTCACACTTTTTAGGGTCTTCTTCATATTCTTTTGGATCCTCTTCTTCTTCCTCCCATCCTCATCTTCTTCCTCAATTTCTCGTGTGTTTCCTTTTCCTTTTCCGCTACCACTTGGCACAACATGTCCACTACTTCTACCTCTACCAACATGCCCTGGTCCTCTTCCTTCTAGATTGAATGGCCTATTGTGAGGCTATTGAAGTTCTCTTTCAAATTCTTGTTGGGACTGCGCGTGACTAAATAAGGAATTTGGGTTTTGGATTCTGATTTCTAAATTACTCATGGATTCTTGTAAAGCAAGCAAGCCCCTATAATAGGCATTAATTATATTCCATTAATGAGTAAAATATGTTTGCACGTTTCTATTGATTTCTTCCAAACCTATTGATTCTTTTACGTTATGGTTAGGTAGTAGAAGCGATATTATGCAGTTATTGACTCTATATTGTTGTATTATGCAGTGACAACGAACATAGTCATCATCTATCAAACTATTTATACGACAACGATAGTAGTAAGGAAAAATGACTGCATACATCTTGCACAGTCGTGTATTTAATCCTGGAAAAGCAATATGAGATTTTGATATTGAATGCACCATTGCCCAAATCTTATTATAAATTTTCCTGACCATATCTACTTCCTGATGAGTTATAATAAACTAGAGGAGTTGTGTTGTTTGTAGGCTTCCATATGAGGTATTTAATTTGGGAGTGACATTATGCAGGAGAAAGATTAACCATATTTCAAAGGTATAACTAAGTAAAGAATGAATAGCTTAAATACTTATCTCTACTCTGTACGTGACTTTTAGTAAGTCTTTTATTCAATTATCATTTTACTATAACTTTAACTCTCTAATAAATCCGCGCCATTCAATTAGCATACTTGTTTTGCCTTTACTTTATAAAGTTTTTCTTTGTAATATTATTTTCATCCTTAAGAATATACTATTATTAATTTTATAAAAAATAATACAAGTAGAAATAATACACTAGTTATTATATTTAATTAAATAAAGAGATATAATTTTTTAATCTATATTACTTATATAACAATATACAACAATGCTAATTATTTTATAACTATCGTGTATGTGAAATAAATGTTTTTTTAAAAGTTGAAGTTAATTAAATTTTATTTTAAAATATAAAAAAATGTCACAACAAAAATTAAATGAATTGAATTTATTATTGATTGAAAAAATAAATATTAAATTGAATTGATTAAAATAATTTAATAAGTATTTTTCATTTCAAACATTTAAAAAGTAAAATTTTTTAATTAAAAGTATAATTATTAATAAAAAATTATTTTAAAATTTACTTTAGACTTCGATATGTGTTGGGTCGGCTCTGTAGTTGGGTCGTCTCTCAACAAACTCTTGTTTAACACTTCTACATTATTTTTTATATTAATTTCACAACAAAAAAATATTATTTTATAGAATTTCAGTAATCAATGAATCCAAATAAATCTTTTTAAGTGAATTCCTCATTTTAGGAAGCCCAAATTCCTTAATTCATCATCCCTATCAAAATTTCTGTAAACTCAATTATCAAAAACAAAAATAGTGTGATGTAGAACATAGTGTGAACACATTGCCAAAACATAGTGTGAACATATTGCCAAAACACACCTCAATGTCAGGTTTTGTTTTTCTGTTTTAGAAATTTTTTTGATCATGTTAACTTCCACGATGCACACTCAATCTTTCATTGCAACAGGAAAATAAAATATCCTAAAGAGATAGGAATAAAAGATCGCCCATGGTGGGGTTTATTGGTTGTAGGATATCCTTAATTTGTCTTCCTAAATTCAAACTTAGTTTGAACATTATTGTAATAGTTTTAATTAATAAAAGTTAATTAATGATTCCGCGTATGAACAGGTTTACGAATATATCTTAAATTTCTTCCCGTCAAAATTTAAACAGCAAAAGAAATCTTCCTTTTGAACGTTACATGAGTGGAGGTCCTTTCTTTTACGTCCACATATCTTTTTCCTGGCGCCATCTTTAGGAACGAATGGCCCTACATCTCTATTCTTCTGTTTCTTTTTTCTTTTTTCTTTTTTCAAGATAAGTATAACTTCATTTTTATGTTGTTCTATTAATTCTAATATTACGAATCAGCTTATAGTTTAATTTTCATTTTTATTATAATGAAGTCATAGTTTTTCTATATACTAAATGGACACTATTTCAGTGGTCCCCATGGCCAATGCTTTGCGTTTTCAGAATCGCATAGGCATCTCTATTTGGGGTTCATATGTAAAGAACCCATGATGTCTCTGATGCTGTATCAAAAACATGATGTCTCTATGCTAGTGTATAGTTTTTAGTTGCACTTCCTTTGAATCTGACCCGAAACTGAAAGTGAACACCATGAAATTTTTAAATAGTTAGTTATTCAAACAGCCATGCCAAAACTACTGGGAAGAAAAACTTACAATAGAAGCACACCAAAAATCCAGCATGTGTGACATTTTTCCCTCTTCAACTAAACCTGAAAAGAGAAATGTCATATTATTGACCGATCCAAACTCCAAATCATATACCCTTAAATTAAAAACTAAAATTGCAAAATCCAAAAAAGTTTTAGGAGAAAAATTGCAACAACAACAGTAACAAAAAGTAGGACATAGATTCTCTATTTGTGGTGGAACTGGAAGGGAAGATGACCATGAATTTAATGTAAATTTCATTTTATAAAAGAGATAGATGAAGGATGAGGTAAAACAATGGACATAGATAGGAATGAGACCATAGGCCATAACAAAAGCATGTCCATGATGAAAAATATGGATCCATGATTTTGTTTTTGGCCATGAATGAAGATAATCTCAACTTCATACAAAAATCCACAAAGAAGACAGAAAATAGAAAAGGACGAACAAACTCACCATCACTACAAAAATGGAAGCAAATGCGAAATTGGAGAGAAATTCATTAATGTGCAAGCAAGGATCACAAACTAATACCTCAATCCTTCTCAACTATTTTACATCACATATATATCCTTGACGTTTTTCACCTTCTCCATTTCATCTTTTTATTTAATCTTAATCTTATGTATATTAATTATCTTCATATTTCTTTTATCATATTCTTTTGCTTCTTAATCTTAATCTTCGCGCTATTGCCAGTGATTACAGTTGCGCTGTAGGGGAATATTCCTCCCCGAAGATCTTTCCATATTCACATGGTTTACATTCAGTTGCGACATATGATGAACGCATCGGCTAACTACCAGTGGCGCCGTCGTATAGTTCCGAACAAAACCTCCACCGGTAAAAGATGATGAAGAAGATGTTGACGACGCTGAGGATGAAGAAGAGACCGATGCTGTTTTTGGTAGATTTGGTAACGGAGGTTTGGAAACCTTGTTGGAAATGAACGCTCTGATCTTCAACGGCAATTGCGGCGATGCGGTACGATCGTATTCTTCGATGAGGTTGACGAGATCCTCATCGGAGGTTATGGAAACCAAAGCGTCGAGGTCTTCAGCGGGTAACTGGCAGCGGAGGTGCGTCACGGAGGAACCGCAGAGTTCTTCTAGCTTTGGAAGCAGTTCTGTAACAAATACAATAACGGTTATTACAGTTTGCAAATAGCAATTTTATTATCCGAATGTAAAATTCAACTGCGAAAGAGAGAAAACTGACCGGAAAATTGAACAGAGCGATCGACGGAGACGACGCGTGTGTGACCGCCGAGGTAGCGGAGTTTGCCGTCGGGATAACGAGGGAGGATTTTTCCGCCGTAGCTACAGAGGAATTTGATGGTGGATTTGGGAGAATCTGGAGCGGGTTGAGAGAGTCCGAACATGATAGGTTCGGGTTACGGTTTAGGTGCGGTTTGAGTAAGGTCCGGTTTAGGATTGGAGGATTGAAGTGTGTAATGTGAGTTTAGTGAACTATTTTGAAGAAAAATGTTTCCGGGGTTGAAGGAGCTTAGGATTTTGGTGTTGCGCCTTCAAGCCTAATTGTGCTGCCATTTATCCCTTATTTATAGGGATTTTCACTAGGGGGAGGCTCCCCGACATGACGTTACTTAAGGTAGAATCTTACTATTTAAAATTGGAGGAACCAAAAGCCTCCATCCACTATGTGAAAAAATAATTTCTATAATATTTCTTTAAAATTATAAGTATATTATTGGTGCATATTTTTTTTGAAAAATTTAATTTAAAATTAAAAATATAATTTTGGTTTTAAATCGGCAATATATTAATAACAGAAAAATCAAGTTTGTAAAGAAATATATTTTTCTTTTTTTACATCACAAAATTTGGACAAATGATACACGTCACAAATTGAACAAAGGCGCACACACAAATATATATATATATATATATATATATATATATATATATATATATATATATATATATATATATATATATATATATATAGAATCGTACACATCACCAAAATATAATCAAAGTATAAATACGATACAATACAATATCAAAAACCTAAAATCAAAATACAAATCTATAAGCATAAATTATTGAGTATGGCGGATGATGAGTCGGCCTGTCACCCTTGAGGCGTCCCTCCGCTGTCTCTTGTAAAATAGAGCATCTTGAGCCTCTATGTCATACCTCAAATTTGACCCATCATATAATCATTTTATGTTACTATTTTTTTTTAATCTTTAAATCATGTGGTTCAAATTATTCGCTTTGGATATTATAAATTGGGGAAATTAAATAATAATAAGAAGGGGTGTGTTTTTAATCATTTAGCCTATTAAAATATTTTGTTCTTAAAACCCATTTTGAATTAAAGAGAATTAATAGAAAGGGTGTGTATTGTCTTAAATGGACCATCAGAATCTGATGGTCCATTAAGACAATTATGCGTTGGATCGGTTCAAAATAATAAAAGGGTGGTGTTTTAGACCATCAAAATCACATGGCCCATAAAGGGGCTCATGCACTTTAATAAGAGGGTTGTGTTTTTTAGTTGGGCTAGAAACTTTGTTAAAAAAATTAAAGGCCCAAATCGGGTCATCTTTTTGAAAAAGCCGTTTTCTTTTCTTTTTTTGGGACAGAGGCCCACTTGTGTTATATAGCTTTGTTGTATTTATTTCTAATAATTATAATTTTAACTTCTATATTATTATACATTTATTTAGGGTTGACTAAAGTCAACATTAGGGTTTTAAACCCTTTATCCAGCTGTGCCCTGATTAATTCTTGATCCCTAAGCAATTGTGTACAAGCCCAGAAATTAAAAGAAACACATATTAGATCAAAGACCAAATCAAATATTCAGAAAACTCAAACGAATCTCAAAAACAAATCAAATTTACACAGAATAAAATCAAATCGAATCTCATTACAATCAAGTTACAAACAAAACTGTAATAGAACCTCAATCTAATCTCTAATTTCTAAAACTAAAACAATCATACAAAAATCAGATATAATCAAATCCCTTATGGATTCAATCACTAAAAGTAACGACAATTACAGATTAATTTCCTAATTGAATCTAAAACCTAAGATATATAAACCTAAGATTTCTAAAGAAAAAGGAGGAAGAAATTTGGAGAAGCAGACTCAAAACCGAGGAAAGAAGAAGAAGCGGTTGAAGCCTTGGAAGTTTCCTCTTGCTTGAGATCTAGGGTTTCAATTTTTGAAACCCTAAGATTTATCCACAAAGCAATCACCGCGACGTCATTACCTACAAACAAAGAACAAAAGAAGGAACCAGAAAGAGACGAGAGGAAAATCAAATTGCAAGAAGTTCACTACAGGAGAGGTAAACACGATCGAACTTAGCTTAGGATTTTGATTTTGTTATTGTTGTTGTTTTATGTTTGATTTAGGGTTTTCTGAAAACTTAGGGTTAGGTTTAGGTTTGGTTAGGGTTAGAGTTCTTGGAATCAAGGTTAGGGTTCTTGGTGTCTAGGGTTAGGGTTCATCTGGACAAACGGTTATGGGTTGAAGATTGTTAGGGTTCATGTAAGAACCATAAGGCCGAGGTTTGGATTCATAGGGTCACAGTGGTTTCTGGGTTTGGGGATAAAGGTTTGAATGAAGGTGGTGCCCAGATGCAGCCGCCGATATAAGCGATTTTCGGCCGGTGGCGCTCTGGGCAGGGCGATTTCTGGCACAGTGGATTTCTAGAGAGAGGTCAGATTCTTTCTCTCTAGAAATATAGAAGGATTTTGTTTGTTTGGGAGTAGAGAGAGAGGAGAGGAGAAAATGAGGCCCAACGTTGGGCCTGAGCTTTGATAAAACCCTCATTGATTCTTTGCTTGCATTTCCATGATCCTTACTGTGCACTTTATATCACTAACGCTTGATCTCCATCAAATGATCTCAACATGTGTGCCTATTATAAAACATTTTACCTTCCCACAAACTGGCCAAGGATCCAGCTTTTGTCTTGGGCCAAGCCCAATTCTCCTTGCACCCTCTGTTTACTCCGCCCATAATAAATCTTCAGCCATCTATGCTATTGGGCCCGATTCAATATCTGAACTTGGGCTCTTGTTGCACATACCCCTAATTTTGCTTCTCTGTTTAATTATGCACCTCCTCCTGCATTTGGGCCTGAATCCAAGATCTGAATTCAGGGCCCTGCTTTTTACACCCCCTGAAGTTACTAACCAAGCACAAAATACACCCCGTGACTTTTTAATCATTTTTTTATATTCTATTTTATTATTATAATTAACTTTTTTATATTTAATATATTTATATAAATTCCAACATTATTTTATTATTACTATAAAATTCAATTTTTTTACTAACTCAGTTTTTTAATTAATTTTAAATTGCATTAAATTTCTTTTTATCATGCATTAAAAACTTATTTTTCTTATATTTTTTAATATACTTAAAAATATCTAACCAATCAAGTACTAACAATTTTCCACTAACATAATATAAAAGTCAAGATTATTTTAAAAAAAAATTATGAAAATATTTTTAATCGACTGCGAATTTCGCCTAACAACTCCGCTATTCACACACCCAAACTTGCTTCAAGGAAAATTCAAAGTATCTTCGTAATTCATAAAAAAACACCAACCAACTGCGAACTACGAATTGAGACTCTGATTCCTCATAAGAGGATACGTGGGCATAGGACTAAAATCGTGGCGAGTTCCCCTAATAAAAACTTAAAATCATATTTCCTAAAAATTGCAATTCTAAACCCTAGTATCCTTGTGAACAAGGTAGATGAGGGGTGTCTAACACCTTCCCTTCGTCTAAGAACGAGTCTTAGAATCTCTGACCAAATTAGGTTTATCTTTTATATTCCCTTCCCTAAAGATAAAAATTAAGGGTGGTGACTCTCATTTTAGACAATTATTACAGTTGGCGACTCTGCTGGGGAATCAACCCTATGGTTTAGAAGCCTTTCCTTTTGGTTTTAGGGTTTTTAGTTTTCTATTTTTTATTTTTAGGTTTTTATACTTGTTTATTTAATTATTTTTTCTTATTATATTATTTGTCATCTTTATTCATCTACTGGTGGGATTTTATTATTTCAAAAAATTATTTTCAAAAACCCTTAGAAAGAAGGTTTGTCTATTGGTCAAGGGGATACATCATCCCTATGAGGTTTTGTGACGACTTCACTTAAAGTCGGTGGAATTCCAAAAAATAAATATGTCTCAAGAGACATCCTCTTGGGATATAGGACTTTGGAATGAAACCTATGACTTTTTGTATAACCCTTAAACTAAAAACTCATGGTGAGACCTTTCACGACCTTAGAGACAGAAGGTTCGGTATGCAAAAAGGCTACACTTAAGGGAGGTCCTTGTGCCTTTCCCTCTAGTGTTATCCATGATATCCTTAAGGAAACTACCTTATGGGTAGGGAAGAATATCTGTAGGCAAAAACTTGGAGCCTACCATCCAAAGTTACCTTTCATGAAATCCCGTTACTATCATGAATTCATACATCTTGCATTCTATATATTCATTATTCTCCATTATTTTTTGTCTGTCTTATTCACAGGATTTAAAAAATAAATCAAAGGTTTTTGGTGAAGTGTCTTAAACATGAATGCCAAAGAGAAACAACTTATCCGTATTAATACCGTCAAACCAGATATGACGAAGATCAAGGCTATCAAAGGGAAACTGTCTGAAAGAGCTTTGAAGATGTTTACTCATCGTTATGGAGATACCCTTGAATTGACAAAAATGGATGTTAAATTGGGTGTTGTTTCTGCCTTGGTTCAGTTCTACATTCCTCCATTGAGGTGCTTTACCTTCCAATACTTTTGATCTTGCGGTTGACCAGAACCTGGAGAGTGGCCGGAGGATGATCTTCAGTCGGGAAGAGGAGAGAGGGGGTTGTACCTGCAAGGTACTCCAACGATCAAGTAAGAATGGGAGTAAGGAGGTACTAGCAGAATATCAGGTAGTGAGTGGTAAAAGATGTGATGCCTGGCCCTCACAGGTGTGAGGGTTTATATAATGCCCCTGGCGCGTGGCCATTGGTTCCTGATTTCCTGCCTAGATATGAGGGTCCGAAAAATTAGGTAACTGCCATGATTTGGTCAAACCGAGAAGATGTGCTTGTAACTAGCCGTTGGTTCCGGGGAGGAGACTGGTTGTGGGCATCTTTCTGGTCGGCCCCTGGTGGTCTGCACGACACTGATGTCGGGCAGACTAAGGAGATGCTCGATATGAATCATGGATCGGTGTTGGATCAGAAGGGAAAGTGGGTGATATTGCCCGATAGGTGCAGGCAGTCCGGGTCACGGTCAGTGGGCGGTACCCGTGAGATATCTCATACTGGGCCCAATCAAACTGTCGGGCCAGTCCAGAACAGTAGCCCCTTAAATCGTTGC